CACTCCAGCCTGGGCATCAAGAGCAAAACTCTGCCTCAAAAAATAAAATAAAATAAAATAAAATACAAAATAAAAATAATTAGATTTCTGGAAAGTATAAAACAAAGCAGATTTAATGGATATATGAATTAAGATTCATTTCTTAATGACACAGACAATACTAATAACAATGAAAACTTCTTTTTCTCTTTTGTAGAATCTGGAGATGGACCGTTTGTGGCTGAAATAGTATAATACTTCTGCTTTACTAGGTGTTTGAGGACTCAAATTTCATACCAGGTCACTGTTGCCCTCTGACATCTTCATGATCCAAATTGGCAGCTAAAACTTGGGGCATCACACCTGTATTCCCAGAAGCTGGATAGTAGAAGGACTAAGGAAGGAACAAAAATCTGGTTGACTTCAGATTTCTTAGCAACAACATTGAGTTTGAGAAAAAATGGAAAAATTGTTTTAAAGTATCAAAGAAAAATAACTTTGACCCTAGATTTGTATTTCTAGCTAAATTATCAGGTATGTAAAGAATCAGAAGGCATATCACATATAACCCCTCTTTGAAAACACTATTGGAGGAAGTACCCCATCAAAAAGGAAACTAAATTGGGCTGGGCATGGTGGCTTATGCCTGTAACCTTAGCACTTTGGGAGGCTGAGGCCGGCAGATCATCTGAAGTCAGGAGTTCGAGACCAGGCTGACCAAAATGGCGAAACCCTGTCTCTACTAAAAATACAAAAATTAGCTGGGCATGGTGGTGTGTGCCTGTAATCCCAGCTACTTAGGAGGCTGAGGCAGGAGACTCGCTTGAACCCAGGAGGCAGAGGTTGCAGTGAGCCGAGATTACATCACTGCAGTCCAGCCTGGGCAGCAGAGTGAAGCCGTGTAAAAAACAAAAAAAGGAACTAAGAGTGCTCAATAATAGCAAGTAAGAGGGATTAAATCACTTGTCTAAATAACAGTGCAAGGCCATACCACCAAAGCACAGCCTAAGTGGGTATAATAGACTGGGAGTATGGGTGGCAGAGCTGGGGCGAAACCTACAAGTTGACCGAAAAGGGAATTGACCCCATGTAGGCCACCTCTGAGGAAGAGAGAAAGACAAGTTCTAGAGAAGAACTGTCAGGTATACTGGGATTTTTAGCACATTCTTACGAGGCTTGTCTAAAACCAACATGCTCTGCCTCCTAAGCTATATATTCTCAGCCTCTAAATCTCCACAACTAATTACAAATTTCCATAGGTGGGATGGGGGATGGATCAGAGGGGGGTGGAATGTTAAACAAAGGTTGGAGTCCAGGGCTAGTACAGTTTATCTTTATCTGTGTTATTTACACAGCAAAGGTTCTGGTATTAAATTAACAGGAAATTGCAAAGATCCTTTTTTTTTAAAAAAAAAAAAAGGCAAGATGCCAAGAATATTTCTTCCTCCTCTCCCTTCACACCCTGAAAACATCATAAAATTAATGGACTTCTTCGTTCTCTGGTGTTCAATGAAGATATAAAGTAAACTGGGATTTCTGAAATACTTTACCTTTTCATGTTCACTTAAACAGAATTTGGTGGTAATCAAGTGATAAGAGGCTGGTGTGGTGGTTCACACCTGTAATCCTGGTACTTTGGGAAACTGAGGCGGGAGGATTGATTGAGTCCAGGAGTTTCAGACCAGCCTGGGCATCATAGCGAGACCCCATCCCTATACAAACAAACAAACAAAAATCAAAAAGCTAGTTGAGTGTGGTGGTGTGTACCTAGTCCCAGTTACTCCATGGGAGGTTGAGGTGGGTGGATGGCTTGAGCCCAGGAGGTTGAGGCTGCAGTGAGCCGTGATTGCGCCACTGCTCTCCAGCCTGGGTGAGAGATCAAAAACAAAACAAAACAAAAAAAAAACAAAACCAAAAACAAAACAAAACAAAAAAAACAAAAAAACAAACCGAAACAGAGTGACCAGAAAGTGCTGGTTTGGAAAACAAGGAGTATTCTCCCTCTAGTTGCTTGCCAGCTCCTTTCTCCTCTTTACTCACGCTCTGTCACCCTATTCTCCTCTCCTTCTTTCTTCCTTTCCTCCCTTCTCCTCTCCCCACCTTGCCCTTTCTCTCTTCCTTCCTTTCCTTCCTCTCTTGTTTCCCTGTACTTTCCCTCTTTTTCCC